AGGCATAAAATGTACCCTCAAGAAAAACTTGGAGGATCAGGACTTCGCCGATGATATATGTCTGATTTCCCACAAACTGGAAGATATGCAAGTGAAAAGCAACAAGTTGGCAGAACAAGCATCCAAGAAGATAAGACTTCAGATGAACATAGAGAAAACAGAGGTGATGAAGATTCCTGGCCAACAACAACAGCAACAACAGATAACAATCAGTATAAATGGGAGGAATCTGAAAGAAACAACCTCATTCAGCTACCTACCTGGGAAGCATCGTTTCAACTACAGGCGGACGGAACTGACGAGGATATCAAAGCAAGGATCAACGGGAAAGCAAGACAAGCTTTCATTACTCTCAAGTCTGCGTGGACGTCAACATCACTCATCATAAAAAATAAGATCCGGATTTTCAACTCCAATGTGAAGTCAGTCAGTGCTACTCACTATACGGATGGATCAGAGACTTGGCCAGCGCGTCATAAAGAGCACCTCAAACAAACTTCAGACCTTCATTAACAGTTGTCTTCGCTCAATACTCAAGATCAGATGGCCAGCCAAAAAAGATCAGCAACAGGAATCTCTGGCAATGAGTGAACCAACCAGGAACCGATTGTGAAACAAATAGGCAGGAAGAAATGGAGGTGGATTGGATGCCATACTCTGAGGAAACAAACCATCAAGTGACATCACTAGACAAGCCATTGCTCGAGTGGAACCCGAAAGGGAAGCGGCGAGTTGGTCGTCAGTGCGATGGTGGGGTGAGTTGGAGGAGATCATGTGAAGAGGAGATGAAGGCATGACCTGGTGCCAGGTGAAAACTCTAGGAGAGAATCGAACGGAATGGAGATGCGTGGCTGAAGCCCTATTTTCCTGTGGGAAATAAAGAAAATAATAATAATGCTCCGCTCGGATTCCATTGAATGACCTGTTCACTGAGTGATGTCAACAGTTTGCTGAATATATAATATATATATATATATATATATATATATATATATATATGTAATTTAACGTCATCTCCTGTACAAATATACTTACTTTTAATGACCTAGAGAATATGTTCAGTGAATAACTTAACAAACAGAGAAAAACTTGTACAAACGGAGAATGGCACGTGCTTATGGTACTTGCTCAAAAGCAAAGAAAATTCCAGGATACAAAATGGTGAAAATGAAAATCGACAAGTAGAAAAAAAACAAAATGAGAAAACAGTTTTCACAATTCCATTGAAGAATAAAAAACAGGAACGTGACAGAAGGGAAGAAATTATGAAAAATAAAAAAACGGTAAGATGTATATAAGTGCAGATTCGTAGCCTGGATAGGTTCCTTGATATTTTTTTGGGTTCTGTGAGTTGAAGACTTCACTTACAAAGTCTTTAGCCCCCACACGGAAAACATGTCCAACTCTAGGTTAACAGGGAAGTGCCTAGAAAGAATAAAAACTGCTAATTTGTCCAGTTTTTAAGTGCTTCACATTCTGTAGGTGTAGAACTTGGGCACGTGTGGTAGGATGTAATTCAACATTACAGAAGTTTATTTCAAATGTATCACACAGTAATATGTAGTATTAAACATGGATGATAGGGTTTCGAGCAAAAATGAATACCACTCATAATCATATAAATTTAGTCACATGGCTTTGCAATTTGTCTCTTATACAGACGTATATATATTTCTCTTTCTCACTTCCCCTTGTCATTCGCTGCCACTTTCCATATTTCCTGTATAAGTGTTACCTCAAACCGACTGAGAGTGTGCGGTGTTGAATCGATAAACAAAGCTTTAGTAACTAACCTCTCTATCTCTCCTACTAACTATGTTACTTCTCAATACTCTCACCCTGTCCCAGCCTACCTATTTTGTGTGTTTACATGCAAGTGAATGCAATGCAATGTGATGCAGTGGTTGTCCTTTTTACCACGTTATTTAACTTATCAGAGTCAATCATTCTAGGTCTAGCTACATTTTTGTGTTCCAATAATCTAATTGACCCCAGTCTACTAGTTTGACCTCACAGTCATTACACGGTATTTCGTAAATTATATTATCTTTCTTCTTACTGGGGTGTATTGCTTCCTCAAGCCGACAAAGTTTATCTCTGAGAGAGTTGGCTGGTTGGTTTAAATGCCAACCTGACTAATTCCAGCTTCATCGAAAATCCCAAGTAAAGCCTACGACGTGGCTCCCTCCATACGCCAATACTACTTACTACACAGGCTTTGAATTCAATATTATTTTCGTTTTCATTTTTATTGTTAATCTTAGTTTTTCTATGGTTCTTCATATATATATTTTTGAATAAATTCTGATGGGTAGTTATTCATCATTAATATACCAATGTATATATATATATATATATATATATATAGGGAGGATATATATATTGATTTACAGCTTGATTCCACACTGTATTTTTGGTACAAGTATGGAACTTCAGCATGGATATCGGTAGCCCAAATTTTGCAGACCGACTATAGATATCAGGTGTGCGCCGGCGTGGGATCGAACCCCGGACCATGTGCATGGTCGGTGAGAGTCCTAACCACTGTGTCACCGACGCACATATATACATATGTATATAACCGACATGATAATGCACTCCGTTTATTTATTAGTAGTTTAACGAGAAGAATATTATAATTGTATTGAAAAGAATTGCAATGATGACAAATAGAAAAGAATTTTTAAACTAAGGCATTCAATTAGGAAGGAAAGAAAATACAAAGAGTTTAGACTGCTAGTATTAGTAGTAGAAGTAGAACATGGTACCTTGATTATCTTAATAATTAAATTACAATAAGTAAATTAATCACAAGAAATAATTTTTTTTAAAAAAAGGAGGAAATGTACTTTCACTCCTTCTATTTCTCTCTCTCTTTCATTGTCTCTTCAATAGATAAGGCAACATTCATCAGCAAAGGGGGAAATTACAATGATAATAGAGTCATTCTTTCTTTCCATACGGTAACTATTGACACCATATAAACAAATTGTTAGACTGAGTAAGCATTAAGGAGAAGAAAAGAAACAAGGCGAGGAGATCTGGTAGCCATATATATATATATATATATTGGCTTATAGTACTACATAGAAAATGAAGTAGTGGTAGCGTCAAGTGAATGTATATCTCAAGACAAAGAGAACGGAAATAATAGTAACAATAATAATGAGCATTCAGTTTATTCAATTATTCTATAGACATTTTCAAGTATTGGTTATGTAGGGTTTTGTTTTTGATTGGATGGAGGATTTCATCATGAGCTGACATCCGGTAGAGAACAACCTGGGAAAACCTGGGAGTAATGGACAACAGTTTCGTCTTATTTTGGGACTTTTCAACAGTACGCACCCACCGCCACCGGGGTTCAAACCCAGGACCTTCTGGTCACAAGGCCACCGAGCTCGTAGACCGCTGAGCCATTGGGACCCGATCCAATGGTCAGCCAGCCCATGAATTCTAACTTCTGCAAATTCACGACACAGCAATGTCTTCTCCGATGAGTTTCTGCCTCATCTTCAACCTGCTGTACCCTACTGGTCACGGCTTCCCACTAGAACCTCAAGTAGCTAACTGCCTGAATAGGGCCAGTGGCTAGTGAGCATCAGATTAATTTTCAAGTATTGGTTTTGTAGGGATTTTGTGTTTGATTGTATGGAGGATTTCATCACGATAAGCTGACATCAGTTAGACAGAAAAACACGACGGGCGACTGATTAAAATGAGGTTATTAACACTGACAGAAACTTATATACTGGAAATGGACTATTGTCGGTTAAATGAAAAATAGCAAAAGTAGTAACTCATCAGTACTGATGAGTATAATATCCAGGGTAAAACTTTAAGAAAAAAAGCAAATAAAATTTTCTGTCATTCTCCCTGTTTACATATATTATCTATAAAAAAATGTTAGTATATAACCTTTATCATTGCTCATATAAACAAGAATAATAAGAACAACAAGTATGCAGGTTGAAGGGAAAACTCGTCGACGTTATTTAAGCCCACTGGGGAGAAGGATACTAAGAACCAAAGGCACTTGTGAAAGATGGAGAATAAAAAGTGATTAGAATAAACGCTTAAAAATGAATTGAGTGATGCCAGGACCAGTAGTTGTTGTTGGTACCCTAAGAAGGGTAGTAGAACATGTAATGCTAACTCAATGATCTATCATCCTATGTGGAACTACTATTTATGAAGATTATATTATATTTCAGAAAAGTGCTCGGTCTCAGGTTGACAAAAAAAAAGTGGAATCCAGGGTGCGCATTTCGTCTTATTTGAGACTCGTCTCTTGATGTACCTGCATTTCTCAGTGAGTGATGATGTTCCCACCGAGGCTCGAAACCAGTGGCCATAGTTTCAAACGCCAAAGCGTTATCTACTAAACCCTTGGGCCACGAGACCCACCTCTTTTGTAACGGGTCATATGAATTATTTAATTGAATTTCAGATTTTCCCGTCGATTTATTGGACCGAAGTGCTCGGTGTCAGGTTGACTTGTATCCACTGCTAGTCGCCGCCCACCAATTAAAAATACTAGTTATTAGCTTACATCATTATGAGGCTTTGAGAACGACAGATAATGTAATATCAATAAAGCGCTTCCTGTGGACTGTCAATCAGTCAAGTGAGGTAACTTAATTAAAAAAAGGCGTCGGAAATTCTGAGTTCTGAATTGTTGATATTAAAGCCGACCCCCCCCCCGCCACCACCACCAATACAGGTGCATATCATCACTGACTCAAAAGCATATATATATATTTCCTGAGTGTTAGAGTCATGAGAAATGAGTCCATTTTATTCTTCAGACGCATTATAAAGATATCCACTTCCAGATTAGGCATCCAAAAAGTGTAAACTATCCACATCCCCCACTGTCAGCATTTGTATTGAATAGAGAAGTGAAATATTCGCTTAAAATAAAAATTATTACGAGTAAGCAGGAATAAAGAATTAATTATAAATAATAATAATAATAATAATCCAATGATAAAACTTACATTTACGATAGCCGCTTTTGTTTGCGGTAAATCTGATATGATACCATCTGTTAGAATTAGTAGAATTGAGTATTGAGAACCATCAACCGACTGTCGAGCAATACTTGAAATGAAAAGGAAAATAAATAGAAAAAAGGTTAAAAAGAAAAACAAACAAATAAAATTACTAACCATCAACCTTTTTTTGAAACAGATGAGAATATAATCACTCTCAATCTCTACACATAGTAATCAATCAGTTCTCAATGATGAGATATCAAGCAAAAAGTATAAACATTTCCGAAATATCATCACCTGGTATTCAGTTGCGTTACTAGGCTGTCAGAAAGCGTTCAAGGGTAGCTGATAACTGATAAGCTTCCATAGTTTTCATAGCTTCCTAATATCGCCAATGATTTTCCTGATTGCAGTAGATTGGATAATGCGACAAAAAGCGGGCAACGAGGCAACAGGCATAAAATGGACTCACGCAAAAACAACTTGGAGGATCTGGATATATGTCTGATTTCCCACAAACTGGAAGATATGCAAGTGAAAAGCAACAAGTTGGCAGAACAAGCATCCAGAGAAGACTTCAGATGAACATAGAGAAAACAGAGGTAGGTGATGAAGATTCCTAGCCAACAGCAACAACAACAGATAGCAATCAGCATGAATGAGAGAAATCTGAAGGAAACAACGTCATTCAGCTGCCTACCTGGGAAGCATCGTTTCAACTACACGCGGACGGAACTCATGGGGATATCATCAAAGCAAGGATCAACGGGAAAGCAACACAAGTTTTCATTACTCTCAAGTCTGTGTGGAGGTCAAAAGCACTACTCAGCATCAAAAATAACATACGGATTTTCAACTCCAATGTGAAGTCAGTCAGTGCTACTCACTATACGGATGGATCAGAAACTTGGCCAGCGCGTCATAAAGAGCACCTCGAACAAACTACACACCTTTATTTCCTGCTAGCTGTCTTCGCTCAATCCTACTCAAGATCAGATGGCCAGCCAGAAAAGATCAGCAACAGGGATCTCTGGCAATGAGCGAACCAAGAAGAAATGGAGATGGATTGACTGGCCATACTCTGAGAAAACACGCCATCAAGTGACATAAGTAGACAAGGCATTGCTCGAGTGGAACCCGAAAGGGAAGCGGCGAGTTGGTCGTCAGTGCGATGGTGGGGTGACTTGGAGGAGGTCATGTGAAGAGGAGATGAAGTATATGGACAGACCTTGAGCTAGGTGAAAACTTTAGCAGAAAACTGAACGCAATGGATACGTTCGTCTGAAGCCCTATGTTCCTATAGGAATTAAAGGAAATAATAATAATTCCATAGTTTCTATGATACATTTGTTTCAGTTCAAGAGCTATTCTGAAACGAAACATATTACGTGTCACATTTTAATTGGGTTATGAAATAATCATTTCAAAATTGGAGGTCACTTAACATGTGAACGTATCATTCTACACAGTGTAGCAGTTTCAATTCATGCGATCAATGATACTATTTGTAAAATAAACAGCCAACATAGGCAGTCATTTGTTGACCTTTGAGATTAATTAATAATTAATCGACTTAGTAAGAGCTTATTATATAGTATTATTGTATCGTTCACATAAAATGTTTATTTGATATCCGAGATGATTTATTTATTTATTATTTTTTTATTTTGATTACATCTTGATTCCACACTGTACTTTTGATACAAGTATGTAATTTTCAGCATGGGTATCGGTAGCCTAAAATTTCGCAGGGCAACCATAGATATCAGGTGCGAGTCGGCAGGGGATCGAACCTCGGACCATGTGCATGGTCGGTGAGAGTCCTAACCACTGTGCCACCAACTCACACTGAACTGCATTCATGCTTACTTTTTAAGAATTAGAATATATAAAACTAATCACATAGCGTAAAGTGTTTGACTATTCTACATTCACAAAACAAAACGAAACAAACTGGTGGTGAATAGGAACTTTGACACAAAATACTTTAATCGAAAACACCATAGTAAGCCATATTAAAAGATTATTGCAATAGGTGCTGGCAATTTCGATGCAGTTAGGTTCTCTGAGCTGGACTATTCAATAGTAAAGATTTCGCTATCCTTCCAGACCGTATCTTCAGCGCAAGCTTTAAGAAGTATTCATGCAGACTGTAAGAGATGACTGTTCTAGTCACAAGAATTATATAACGTGTAGTTTTCATATTCAAACTGTTTTATCCCTGCAGATAGTTGAATTCGATTTTCAGAGCAAAGTTTTAATACGCAAGGTTATAAGTCACACTTATTATTTTTTTTAATAATAATAATAATTTGTGTGATGACTGATACCATGCAGTTAGTCATGCTAAGTATACAGAGAGATAAAACTTGTAGCCGAAAGCATTCGGTTGAAAGCTAATGACTGGCCCTATTCGAGCAGTTAAACTGGGATTCTAGTGGGAAGCCGTGACCAGTAGGGTAAAACAAGTTGAAGATGAGGCAGTAACTCATCGAAGAAAACACTATGAAATGGTCACGCCATGTCGTGAATTGACAGAAGTTAGAATTCAAGGACCATTGGATCGGGTTCCAGTGGCTCAATGGTCTACGAGCTCGCTGGTCTTGTAGCCAGAAGGTTATGGGTTCGAACCGTGGTGATGGGTGCGCGCTGATGAAGAGTCCAAAATTTGGACGGAGGAAACAGCTGTCTAGTACTTCCAGCTGGTTTTTCAATGGTTTTCTAACTGATGTCAGCTCATGATGAAATCCTCCATGCAATCTTCTTTTCTTTATCGAAATTTACCAAGGGAACCAAATGTAAGAAATATTTTTCGTTACAATTAAATTGTTAGCATTAAAAAAGAAAGTTAAGGAAATGTTTTGATTAAGTTGTATTAACTCGTATACGTATATTCTGATCACCATTAGGTACACATTACTGTACTGTAAGCATCGGTATTTCAGTACTGTACTGTACTGTAATGTATGCAGTATGACTACTATTCATACTGATTAACATAATTTTGCATACTTTAGTAATAATACATCAAAGAATTAATAGTCGATCGGTTAAACATATCATATTCTTATGAAGGGGGGGGTGGTGAAGGGAAATAATTCGCTTCGTTTCTGAACGGATATACTTACTGGATGAAATTGTAAATACTTTGTTGTATGATATATGTATGTATATATGCAGGGGGAAAAAGATAAAGTAAATTAGGTTAATTACATGCATTTATCAGTGTTCAATACAATGAGGAAAGAATATTCTAACATTAACTTTATCATTTTTTTCTCCATTGAAAATCTATAATGAACAATTGCATTGATGATGATAATGACGATACACAGTCATAAACAGAATTGCATCTTATTTGTTTATCTAGTGAACAGCTGCCATTTTCTCTGGCTGAAGGTCAGCAAGCACTAGCAACAAGAAACTCTGGCATTCCAGGAATTCATGTAAGACACGTGTTGGCCAACAAATATGTCAAAGAAATACAGATGATAGGTTTCCAGACCGTAGGTGGTGTTACGAACTTCCTGGAATAATTTGAGCGCCGAGTCAGATTGATTCATTATAAATTATTTAAATTAATTAATTCCAGCATGTTAAGAAAAACAAAACAAGATCTGTTTTCTCAAAGTTTCGCTGTGTAAGCCACAGCTTCTTCAGCAGATTTATTCGGATTTTTATTAATCATCAAAATATATAGTAAAAATTTTTTTTACATGAAATGAAGTCAGTTTATTTGAAGGTCATTTGACCATGGACATTTTTTACCAATAGAAGTATGTAAGCAGTCCTCACATATATTTGTAATGACTAATGTCAAATTGTTGTTGTGTTCACTCTTCTATAGTTGATTTGTAAGGATTAGTATTCAAGGGATGGTTTGTAGGGATTTGATTTGTTTCAGGATTTCATCATGAGCTGACATTAGTTAGAGAACCACTGGAAAACCTGCAGGGAGTACTGAACAGCTGTTTCGTCCTAGTTTGGGACTCTTCAGCAGTACGCACCCACCGCCACGGTTCGAACCCAGGACCTTCCGGTTACAATGCGAGCTCGTATACCATTAAGTCACTGGGACCCGATCCAATGGACCTTGAATTCTAACTTCTGACAATTCACGACATAGCGCAACCACTAGCCAATGTAAAGATTAGATTTGTATGCGTGTGTATGTATGTATGTTATTTGTCATATGGAAAATGCGTGAATTCATATGAGATAAACATGTCACTACATGTTTTGAAAGGTCATGAAGGCTCATAGAGTGTTTGTTGTTTTTTCATTTGTCTTGCTTCATAGGAGTTTGCCATATAGGTGATAAGTCTATACCTTCTTTCCTATTCACTGCACTTGATGTGGTTAAAATGTGCAAGGCTCCAGAAGTCAATCTTTCTTTATGTGAATGAAATCCTCTTCCAAGATATATATTTTGATGATTAATTATAATCCGAATAAATCTGCTAAAGAAGCTGTGGCTTACACAGCGAAACGTTCAGAAAACAGATCTTGTTTTGATTTTCTTAACACCCTGGGATTAATTTAAATAACTTATAATGAAATACAGATGAATTGGATAGACAGTGAAGAGACAATTTGGCGACACCACATACCAAACAGATCATCAAGTGGAATCCCAATGGAAGACAGTAAGTTTCTCTTGGATCCAACCGTGAGGAGAAAATGAAAGCTTATAGGCAGTTATAGGAGTTGACTAAAAATGACTGCAGAGAACACCGTAAAATGGCGATATGTTGCTGAATCCCTATGTTTTACTCAGAGCCGAAACTAGTAACAGCGTAGTAATAATTGGATTCATGGTAGATAGCAATGGAGTCCAGGGAGTGTATTTCCCGCTGTTTGCTATATTGTTAAACACCACCAAATAAAAAAGCGTTAGATTAACCTCTAAAGTGTCATGTTGAAGAGTTCTTAATATCAGCCAACATTTCAACAGAGATTGAGCTAGTATAGTGTATGGTACTATTAAAATACATTAGCCAGGTTATCGCATCCGATCAATAGTACATTTCAGAAACACGCCTACTTATGAGTTATCAAAAAAACTTCGCTCTAATATTATGCCCCATTAGAAATTGTTCAAGCTTT